CAGCTGTCTGTATGTTCGGCTGTGTGTTCATCTATGTGTTCAGCTGTGTGATTGTGTGTTTGACTGTCTATTCAGCTGTGTGTACATCTTTCTGTTCAGCTGTGTGTTCGGCTGTATATTCGGCTGTGTGTTCAGCTGTGTGTTTGTGTGTTTGACTGTCTATTCGGCTGTGTGTACATCTTTCTGTTCAGCTGTGTGTTCGGCTGTGTGTTAAACACTTTCAGCTTCAGATACTTTGTGTTCTCTGCGCTGACCCTGGATCGGCTCGGCCCCAGCTCTGACCTCTGACCTCTTGAGCGGTGTGTCGGCATGTTTGCCGGTCCGTTCTGCAGACTTGTGGTTCTGGTTCTGGTCCAGTGACCCTGCTTCAGCGGGCTGATGTGGGGGCTGAACCTGAACCCGCAGCTTGTTGACAGACTGGTGATCGTTCTGCTCGGAGGAGGAAGGTGTTTTAAAAACAGCTGTTTAGGTTTATTTTCTTCAGGAAGTCCGACGGCAGCGGCGGCTCCGGTCCGATCGGACCTCCAGGCCCGGCTGCTGCAGCTCCTTTGAAATCCAATCTTCTCGCTCTCAGTGAGACTGAGGCTGAAGAAGCAGCTTAATAACTTGAAAAGTGAATGTTACGACCCTCGACTGGCTCCTCCTCCTCCTCTTCTTCCTGAACCAGAATCACCTCCTCAAGGTTCTCCTCAACAATCCGCTCTCTTCCACCTCCTCATCACCAGAACCTGTGATTTCAAACAGCAACGCACATATCAACAAGGAGATTGTAACAAAGACATGCATTTTCAATCAACCGGACAAACAATCAAATGACTCCAACAAGAAAAGTCCGACTTTTTTTGATAAACGAGAAAAAAAACCAACTCTTTCCTTTAAAAGTTCCGTCTTTGTCGTCGTGTTTTTCCTCCTCAGCCTCCGGTGACGGAACAAAAAAACAATAATTAACAGTTGGTGTTTTAAAAGCACTGTGATTCTTGTTTGTCTTTTTTGTTTCCTCTACCTACTTTTGGGTAAAAAGCTAAAAAAAGAGTGCTAATTAAAATAGTATAAACTGTCCATGTTCCTAACGTCGACAGCCTGGTCGCTCCCATCACCTCCTCCTTATTAACTCCGTGTATTTAAGGCGTAAAATGGTGTTTCCGATGTGTTTCGTGTCACTGGCTGTCCGAGTCCTTCACGGCCACTTCTCTCTGTGTGTGTTGACTATATGCAGTATATCCTGAGCTCCTGTAGCTGTTTTTGTCCTTTGTCTTCTCTGTGCTCTATCTCTAGTGTGGCGAAGGGGAGGAGGCCAGGTCAGAGAGGAGGAGCTGACCTCCTCCTCCGTTTCCCTCTATCTGCAGTCTTAGTGAAGCCAGTGGAGGTCGTGGAGTTTCGTGTTCGGTGGCCTTTGCAAAGAAAAAAAAAAGAGACGAAAAATTTGTGAAGTCCACCTTTATTTGCTGCTTTCTTTCCGTCTGTAAATCTGCCTTTTTCTTTTCCTTCTCTCTTTCACTCCGCTGTTGCTTTTTGCTGTTGTGTGGTCTTCAAACCTCTTTAACTCTTTCCTCTCGTGGGGGAAAAGACGATTTAACTAGCTCAAAAAGTTTATGGAGCCATGTTTTCACCTGCAGGGAACTCTGGGGCTCCAAGGTTTACAGCAGATGGATCCAGATGTTCCGTCCCGTTAGACCAGGCTGACCCTGAACCTGATTCTTTGCTGACTCCGGTCAAGGTTCCACAAAAGTCTCGCAGCAGTTTGTTGGACCTCCTGACAAAACTGTTGGACCTGAGTCAGGTTTGTAGCCTTTTCAGCTCTGAACACACTCTGTAGGACTAAGATCAGGACATTGAGATGGACAGTCCAACATGTGGACTTTGTCCTTCAGCCTCTTTGTAACTGGATGTATGCTGAGGGACATTGTCCACTTGCAGATCCATCTGTGTCCAAAGCTTTAACTGTCTTTAGATACTGTTTCTTTATGATGTCCCTCCTGCAGTAACACCCCCCCAATCATGATGCAACCACCTCCGTACTTCACAGTCCGGACCATGTTCTTCCTTTTCCCTCCAAACGTAACGAGGGTCAAACGGTTTCGTTTGAGTCTCATCAGACCACAGGACATGTCTCCAAACATGAACCTCCCTGTGTGGACAAACTAATGCAGGGGTCCCTAACCCTAGTCCTTGAGGAACACCATCCTGCATGCTTTAGCTGTTTCTCTGCTCCGACACACTTGTTTTAATTAATGGGTGATGACCAGGCTTCTGAATAACGAGGAAGTAATTTAATCACTGAATCAGGTGTGGTGGAGCAGAGAAACTACTAAAACATGCAGGCTGGGGTTCCTCAAGGACCTGAGTTGGGAACCACTGCAGTCCATGTTGGTCTCGTCTCGCTCTGGATTTTCTGACCCGCTTCACGAGGTCTTTGCTTCGGTTCTGGTGTTGATGTGAACGTTTTGAACCAGAACCCGTTCAGATTTAGTCTGATTTGATGTCAAAACGAAAACATCTGGTTTCAGCCGTAAATCAACACCTAAAGACGTACGAGCTCCTGCGGCCTTTAAACTCCATCAGCTGGTGAAACACCCCCCCCCCCCCCCAGAGTTCCTTGGGGCTTCCTGTGTGCATTGGGTGTATTTCAGTGGTTCCCACTAAACTTGTTGACTTCCTGTGCAGATTTCTCTCAAAGCTAAACACGCGGTTCAAGAGAGAAAAAAATCACAATCTTTCAGAATTTAAAACAGTTTTAACAATTTCTAAAGAACTTTAAAGAAGAAAAAATATTTCTCACTATAAATCTATTTTTCTAGGTGTTTTGAAAAACTGAGCTGCATGTTTAGTAACTTTGTCTGTGTTTTCTCAAGCCCTCATCCATGTTTTGGTCCAACGGTTGTTTTTTTTTGTTTCTTTTGTTGTTTTTTTTATTTAAATCTGTCTGACCTTTAAGGGGGGGTACAGTAAGGAGGCCTGATGGGAGAATAAAGTGCGCCTCTGACCCCGCCCTCAACATCAGGAAAACCAATCTGTAGCGTCTGTGCTTTCTGTGAAAAGTCCTCGTCTTGTTACTGACACTGAAGTTTTAAAAAAGTAGAAAATTTTTAAAAAACTCCTGACGAGAATGTGATGGGGGGGTGGGGTGGGGGGGTTATGGTTGAATGTTAGATTTTAGGAGCCTTTTCTTTCAGCGCTCCTCAGGATTTTAGCATTTTCTACCTTTGGATTTGCTTGAAATGATCAGCAGGGAACAAGCTGAAGGCTAGGCCCTGTTAGCTGAAGAGAGGGGGTGGGGGTGGGTGGGGGGGTAATTAAGACGAAACCAGGAAATACACCCACATGTAACTAAAACCAAACAGCTACTTTCAGCTGTTTCATTGTTTTCTGTGTTTTATGTGGAAAAATGAAAAGTGCTGGTGATTCGACCCCCCCGAGTCCCAGCTGCTGTCAGATCCGTGGTGTTTGGAGAAAAATCACTTCATTTATCTGTGAAGAAACTGTCTGTGTTTTTAACTATTTCTTGTACAATTCAA